CGAGACGACCGATGTCTGGGGAAGGGGAGGGGTACGACAATTTGCTGCATGCAGCTGGTTTCGGCCTCCCCGAGGGGCCCCCGCGGGGCAAGGGCACGGAGAGGGCGGCACTCCGCCGAGCTGCGCGGGCGCCCGCGGGCGCCCGCGGGCGCGTGCCCCGGGGCCCGAGGAGGGGATCCGATCGACCGGAGAGCTGCTGTACTCCCAGACCCCCTCGAGTTATGAAAAATCACGACGCGAGGTTTTTCATGATTTTCGGCTTTGGGGGGCCCTTACCGGCCCTCGGGAGCGTCAAAAAACGACTCAGGACGAAAAACCGGTCCCGGGGAATGGGTCGGGACCTCTGGATGGCGACGTAATGAAAAAATCATTACGTCGGGGGCCTGGGCTTCAGGCCCAGCCGCCGGGCGTCTCGAAGAAATTTACCAGCCTCGGACTGATCCCTATCCCTAAGATTGGCACGCCAAAGAATGCGATGGCAGTCTTCGGGATGCGCCCTCAAAAAATGAGGGAACCCCCGAGATTGGCATCGTGACGAGGAGATGCCCAGCGTAGGGATAGGGATATGTTCCAGGCTGGTAATTAGCAAATGTCGAGACCGAGGTTCTGCGTTGCCTCTTCGGCGTCACGGGGGGCCGCGGGGCCCTCGCCGGGCCTCGGGGCCGTCAACGGCGCGGCTCGCGCGGAAGCGGTCGGGAGGTCTCGGGAGCCCCCTTCTCCGAGAAAGCGAGATCTCGGGCGTCTGGGGAAGTGAGTATCCTCGTCCGCAGGTCTACGATCGGCGGCGAGCGAGGGGGGGGGGGGGAGAAATCGAGGAGGAGAAGACCCTCTCAGAAGGCGGCGGGGCTTCTGAGAGGCCCTCCGGCCTTCTGAGAAGTGTCCTTTGTCTTCGGGGGAGACTTCGAAAACTTGCCAGAGGGCTGGAGGACCTCCGAACCTTCTGAGCAGGCCTCCTCCTTCTCACTCCCCCTCCTCGCTCGCCGCCGATGCAAAGCACGTGCGCAGAACGGCCCTATAGGTAGACGAGTACTCTGCGTTCCTTCTTGTGTGGATGGTGCGGAAGTTTCAGTTTTGGGGTGCCCAGAGATCCGATGTCGTGATGTTTTCTATACGGGGTCCCCAGAAGTCTCGACCCATTCCCCAGGACCAGTTTTGCATCCCGAGTCGTTCTTTGACGGTCCCGGGGCCCGGCGAGGGCCCCCAGAGGCCAAAACCTTCGGAAATCTTCCGTCTTGATTTTTTCAATGCGCTGGATCTCTGGGCACCTCAATTCTGCAGTCGACTTCCTCACTCGAAGGGGCTGTTTCCAAGGCTGTTTCCACGACGGGGTGATTCGCCGAATGGGCAGCCCGGTGCCTGCCCGACCGATCTGCGCGAGCGCCGGGTCCGCGGGAAGAGTAATAAGTGCTTCGCGGAAAGAGATTCTGTATTGACGTCAGTTGGAGGAGGAGGAGGAGGAGGAGGAGGAGGAGGAGGAGGAGGGAGGAGGAGAAGGAGGAGGAGGAGGAGGACGAGGAGGAGGGAGGAGGAGGAGGAGGGAGGAGGAGGAGAGGAAGAGGAGGAGAGGAGGCCCAGACCCCGGGCGCCGTGGTTTTTGGCCACCGCGTGGGCCCCCGAGGCCTCGACCCGTTCTTCCCAGGAGGGGGAAAAAACACACAGACGCAATTTGTGTGTGACATTTGTGCGTATGTATCTTGTCGTCGCAAACAAAAAATCAGGACGGGAGGTTTTTGACCATTTTCGGCCCTGGGGGGAGGCCCTCGCCGGGCCTCGGGACCGTCAAACAACGACTCAGGACGAAAAACCGGTCCCATCGGGACTTCCAGGGAGGCCGTCCTGGCCATTTTGGCCTCCTCGCCGAGGCCACTTTGGACGCCCTTGGCCGCTCGCGGCCCCCCCCCCCGTCCAGGTCCACGGGGAGGGGGTGGGGGGAGGGGTAAGCCCCTCCCCGAGGGGGGAAGAGGGAGCCCAGACCCCCGACGTCGTGATTTTTTCATGACGTCGACCCCCAGAGGTCTGGATCCTTTCCCCAGGACCGGTTTTTCATCCTGAGTCGTTTTTTGACGCTCCCGCGGCCCGGTGAGGACCTCCAGAGGGCAAAAATAGCGAAAAACCTTCCGTCGTGATTTTTTCACGACGCGAGGGGGTCTGGGAGGGGTGGCAGAGGAAACGCTCTAGACCACCGACGCCCAGAGGGCTGGTGGGATTTGCGTGTCCCCTTTGTGTGTGTTCATACTTGTGTGCCCCTGGGCCACTTTCTCTTCCCTGGGCCGCCTCGGCGGTTTCTGCTGCTGCAGGGCGTGGCCCATGCCTGGGGGCAGGCCCGGGCGACGGGAGGGCGGCGAGACCCGGACCCAGACCTAGGGCGCCTCGAAAACATCGAGGCGGGCGTTTTCCATCGCTTTCGGCCTCTCGGAGCCCCCACATTGAAGAATCAAGACGTCGGAGGCCTGGAAACCCAGACGTCGGGCGTCTCGGAAAAATCGAGGCGAAGGTTTTTCGTCGTTTTTTCTCCTCTCGGGGCCCTCGCCGGGCCTCGGGGTCGTCAAAAAACGACTCGGGACGGCTTTTCCCGGGGGCTCGAAGAGAGGGCCCCGAGGGACCCAGACATCGGGCGTCTCGAAAAATTGAGGCGGAGGTTTTCCATCGTTTTCGGCCTCTCGGAGCCCTCGCCGGGCCTCGGGGTCGTCAACAAAACGACTCGGGACGAAAAGCTGGCCCTGGGGAAGTGGTCGGGAGGTCGGGGGCCCGTGTCTCGAAAACATCGAGACGTCGGACTTCTGGGGACCCAGACCTCCCCGAGTCGCGAAAAAGAATCAAGACGGGAAGGTCTTCCCCATCTTCGGCCTCTGGGGGCCCTCGCCGGGCCCCGGGACCGTCAGCTAGCAGGACGCGGGAGGCAACACCGGTCGCGGGGAAGGGGTCGAGACCTCCCCGGCCCCCGACGTCATGCTTGTTGCCTGACGTCCACCCCCAGAGGTCTCGACCCCTTCCGCAGGACCGGTTTTTCATCTTGAGCCGTGTGTTGAAGGCCTTGAAGGGGGCCCGGCGAGGGCCCCCGGAGGCTGAGAACAGCGAGAGACTTCCCGTCGTGAGTTGGTTCGCGACTCGAGGAGGTCTTCAAACAGGGCTAGAATCGGGATAAATCGCTCCAGAGCGTTCCGGAGCGCTCTCAGAGCGTTCCGGAACGCTCTGGAGCGGCCGCGGCGCCCAATACATCCTCCAAACCCGCCGATTCTCAGAGATTTCGAGTTATCCCGATCCGATTTTGCCCCGATCTCCGCGTCGTTTTATGACGGCCCCGAAGGGGGCCCGGCGAGGGCCCCCGGAGGCTGAGAGCAGCGAAAGACTTCCGTCGTGAGCTGGTTCGCGGCGTCGAGGAGGTCCGGGGGGGTGAAGCCGTCGTGGCGTCGGCGGTCTGGGGAGCCGCGGAGGCGGGGGGGGGCGAGGGGCGCACAGAAGGCGGCAGGCCTCGCCGCGGGAGCTCGGCGCGCGAGGGGGCCTCCCACAGCATAGGGTTCTGTCGGGCGCGTCCCCCTACAGGGGAACTGTTCGACGAAAAATAAAGCATACTCCAAAAGTGCGCCCCGATAAACTGGTCGAGAGGTCGGGGGCCCGTGTCTCGAAAAAATCGAGGCGCCGGATGTCTGGAGACGCTAATGGGCCTCTCACAGCATAGGGTTATGTCGGGCGTGTCCCCCTACAGGGGAATTGTCGACGAAAAATACAGAATACTCCAAAAATGCCCCCATAAGGCCAAAAAATACCCCCCCAAAAAAATAGTCCCCTGACTATGTTTGGACTATTTTTTCTAAATTATGTTTGGGTTTTTTTTTTTTTTTTTTTAAATTTTTCGTCGAAGAGCCTCCCGGTAGGGGGACAGGCCCGACTTCAGCACAGGGCGGCGGCCGGGGGGGGGGGGGGTCCCGTGCGAGAGCGCCGCGTGCCCTTCCACCCGCGTTCGGATGCAGCACCTGGGAGGTGCAGGTCCGAGCTTGCCCTGGCCCGGCATCCACCTCGATCCCGCGCAGGCCTCCAGTTCCAGTCCCAGAGATCCAACGCACCGAAAAAAAGTCAAGGCGGAGGTGTTCCACAGTTTTTGGCCTCTATAGGGGCCCTCGCCGGGCCCCGGGGCCGTCAACAGAACGGCTCGGGACGAAAACACCGGTCCTGGGGAAAGGGTCGAGACTGCCGAGGGACCCCGTCTTGAAAAAAATCAGGACATCGGATCTCTGGGCCCGCGCAAGCCTCCAGCTCCAGTTGCATCCCGCCGCATCCCGGTTGAGTTGGCCTCATCCTGCGTCATTCGGGGGCTCCCAAACGGGGTGGTGACCACACCGTGTGGTGAGTCGGTGGGGATTCGGGGTCACCGCACGGTTTTGGGAGTTGGGTCGTCTCCGAGGATGTCTCGGGCGACTGGAGCCTCCAGGGTCCCAAAACCGTGTGGTGACGGACCGTGCGGTGAGGTCTTTGCGGATTTCGAGGTCACCGCCGGATCTGTCACCACATGGTTTTGGGACACCCAAGTCATCCGAGGCCCAATCCAGCGCAGCAGCCCCCAACTGCGGCTTCAGCCTCTTCAGTCTTTCCGAGGAAAGCCTCCCAGTAGTTGCCTCCTAATTTCCGTGCCTCTTTTCCCGGGGGCTCGAAGAGAGGGCCCGTCTCGAAAAAATTGAGGCGGAGGCTGTTTGTCCTTTGCGGCCTCTCGGGGCCCTCGCCGGGCCTCGGGACCGTCAACACAACGGCTCGGGGTGAATGTCCGGGGGAAGTGGTCGGGAGGTCGGGGGCCCGCGTCTCGAAAAAATCGAGACGTTGGAGGTCTGGGGATGGGGCCCTGCACAGGGGGCAGGAAGGGACTTCCAGGCGGAGGCCTCCTCGCCCCAGGGCCCCGCGTCTCGGAGCCCGGCCCCATCTTTGCATTGTCGAGATGCTCCTCCCCCCAGGCCCCAGCTGCGGTCCTCCTCCTCCTCCTCCTCCTCCTCCTCCTCCTCCTCCTCCTC